AAACGATAGACGAATGACAACAGAACGATAGACGAATGACAACATCTCGACCGAATAATATTAACATTTTTCTTACACGACACTCAAGCCATAGTCGTTTTCAAAGTGCGTCAACAGACCGTTGGCGCGTTTTCGCATCATTGCCAACAACCTCCTAGCTGTCCACTATAGACAAACACAAGTTCTCGTTTCAAACAGAATTGTCTGCTGAGCTCAACAGTTTTTACACTTATGTACACATTATCTGCCGGGATTTGGGAGAAGTTTTTCAAGAAAAAAGACTATTATGTGGCCCCTGTTGGACTAGACAACTCTGGGAAAACGGTAGGTTTATCGCTNCACAATTCCGACAATATTTCATGAAAATTTCAGTTGTTCTACCAATGCCTCAACTTTGCCATGGTAGTGTCGTCGGCATTGATGATTTGGAAGGGAATGATGGTGGTTACTGGATCAGATTCGCCAGTTGTTGTTGTGCTCTCTGGGTCAATGGAACCAGCATTCTACAGAGGAGATCTTCTCCTTCTCACAAATGATCTCGAGGACCCAGTTCGTGTCGGAGATATCACCGTTTTCAAGGTTGAGGGAAGAGAGATTCCAATTGTGCATCGAGTCATCAAGGTAATTTTTAACTCGAAAAATAAACAAAAAAGGCGAATTAAATTAGGTTCATGAGAAATCTTCGGACGACACCAAAATTCTCACAAAGGGAGACAACAATCAAGTCGACGATCGTGGTCTCTATGCACCAGGACAGCTTTGGCTTAGCCGTTCTGATGTTGTTGGCCGCACAAAAGGACTTCTCCCATACGTCGGAATGGTGACAATCATCATGAACGACTATCCGAAGCTGAAATACGCCGTTCTTGCTTTCCTCGGGCTCTTCGTCTTGCTCCACAAGGAAAACTAGATCAAAGAGTTTATCAGCGACCTTGTGCATAACAACTGCATCATCTCTAATTTATTTTCTCCTGTGACACTTGTCAAGATTCCAAAGCTATTCATTTTTAAGCGTATGTCGTTGAATGGGTAATAAAAATCAGAAACAATGTGGGTGTCAGTGAACAGATGAAGTTTTACCGAGACAAAATGACTGGGGACATTTAAAAACCTGGATGAAGAATTAAACGAGTTTCAAGAAACGAATATACACAAGACCGTATTTTACAAAGCAATTAGGAAGGTTTTCAACAGAGTTTCTCGTTGCCCATGACCAGTTTTTAGTCGAGATCCTCAAGAACAGCTTCCTGAGCCTGAAATTTGGATGATTCTTGTTGTCATATATAAATCCTCAATCTAACCTGTCTTTGATGTCTTATTTTCCAGTCGTGCATGTCAACTTTTTGACGGCACACTGGACAAGAGTTTTTAGTTTTGAGCCACGGCTCAATACACGGGCGATGGAATATGTGATTGCAGTCAAGTGCTCCAACATCTTCTCCCAGTTTGAATGTGTCGAAGCATGTAGTACATTGTGCTCCATTGTCTATATGCTCTTTAGTGACTTTCTTCATTGGAAGATATTCTCTAATTTCATTTTCTGAGAATCCACGTTGAACCATTGCACCGACGCCTTCGCCGCCATTGAACTGTGCGAGGATTTCTGCCATAGTGGTATCCAAATCCGCCTGATCGTTGTCTCCATCCTGGCCGTTTCCTGCTCTATGTGTATGTATCTGAACACCAACGCCTCCTGGCATTTGGAACGAAAACGTCACATTTTGCGGACCATCACCATTGCGTTGCTCTGGCTGGAAATAAAATAAATACACATATCAGAAACAACTTCACATACTCTGAACATGCTGTCCATAAACTCTCGGAGTGCTGATCCCTCATTTCCAGGCTCTCCAGCAGCAGGTGCATTTCCACCAGCTTCTGCGCGAGCAGCAGCTTCAGCGCCTTCTGTTGGTTGCGCTGGTTGTTGAGCTCCGAACCTCTCCATTCCATTGCGAAACATTTCAGCCAATTGGTTAAGAGCTTGAAACCCTCCCGGCATTGCCGCTGCGATCACTGAAAAAATTTTGGCAATTACTCTTTGAGACTACAAAGTCTCTTTGACTACACTTGTCTCTTTGACTACACTTTAAAAAATTTTAAAATTTTCTGCAGTTTTTGTGGGCGTTCTTACAGAATATAAGAAGAATTTGAGCCTAAGCCTATAATTTTATGGGG